GACCCCCATATAGCAATAATATCGGTACCAAAGAGATTAACTCTTTGCAACCGCTTGCAGTTTTCACAGGCAGTAGGCCCTACAAAGTTGAAATCTGCTGGTAATTCTAACTGCTCGATGCCTGATCCGAGGTGCTCTAACTGAGAAACTCCAGTTCACATCCAAAGGTGCTACTCTTGCCTATTAGGGGGAGGCTCCCAAGCACCGCATTCTCAAACTCACTAAGATGATCAAATTCCTACAGTTCGATTGGCATTTGGATTTCCTCCCCAGCCAAGGTGACCAGGATGAGGTGAAAGACGATTGACCGCTCTGCGCTGGCCGGTGTGCTGTCCTGCGAGGAAATTTCCCCAACCATCTCAACCTCAGGGAGTGTGAGTGTCTCAAGTAGCTTGAGCCAGAAGGTGTCACCCGACTCTGACAAATAATGGTCTGTTCACAATGCGTCTACTCCTTTGGCTCTCCCCTAGGGACAGTGATAGAGATGACCGCCCTAGATTAGCCTATGCTGGTTGGCACAATTAAGTATGAAAGCTTGGTGCCGCCAGAATGAAAGCTTGGCGGCGCCGTCCAGTCGTCCCCATTGGGCGGCAGATAATTGAGCCCCCAAGGGAGCGGTAGCCTGAAACACGACTCAAAGGCGCGCACCATTCTCCGATAATGCAGGTGAGACAGCAATCCACACTCTCCACACGCCCTGTGCGCAATATACCTGAGCTTGTCAGGCAGGCCAATGCTGGCGAGGGCGAGGCAGCCTTTAAATGCTTCTGCCTGAATTTCCTGCAGGGTGGGCGGGAGACTAATTTCCAATAGCTTTATACAGTGCGAGAAGGTATGCATGTTGAGTATGTCCAATGACGTGCTGGATATGTCGACCTTAATCAATTGTTTGCAATTCTCATAAGCTCTAGGTGGCATCTATCCCCAGGGTGACACTTTGGATGCCCGACGAATGGAAGCATCCTTGTGGGATCCCTGCTTGCGGGGGCGGCATGGTAGCGGCGGCTAGTCCTGCCCTTGTATGGGCTAGGCACAGCTGCTCGAATTTAGCGCAGCTTTCAAATGCATACGGGCCAATCATGGCTCCTGAGAAGAGTCGTACTCGAAACACAACGCAGCCAGGCATCTCTACCGTGGTCAATGCAAAGCAACCTTAAAAGGCAGCGTACTCTACTGCAACCACCGTGCTAGGAAGCTTGACTATTTGCAGTTGATAGCATGATTCGTGCGCGGCAGCTGTAGCTCCCTCGATTGTTTCCGAAATGTCTCGTTCTGCCTGAACGTGATCTGGGTCTGCCACTACAGGGTTGGCTCTGTTAATAGTGGTAAAGAAACCAGTGTTTGCCCTAGCTTGGCCAAATTTGCCGGTGTCAACCCAGTAGGTGGGGTGACTAAGTCTCTCAACCGCTTTCTCCCACGTTAGTGGCAGTAGTTTTTTGGGGTGAGCAACTACATAAGCTCGCCGCTCATCATCACGTTCTCCCGATGGGAAGCCATTGAGGAAATACGCCTGGAGCAGGTAATAGTCAGTCATAGTGCACTTCCTGTTCAATGAAAGTATGTTCCAATTTCTCCGGGAAATCGTGACAGCTAGCCCTTCCAGTAGCCAAGCTGCTATGACCTCATACTTGTTGCCTGCACTGCGGACCTCATAGGTACGCGCAGCACGGTGGAGGAGCCCTCGTTGAAATGAGAAGCACCCGTATCCTGCCGTCACCAAGTAAGTTTCTTCGTCGGCCTCAATTTCTTCGTCCTCATTAGCTGGGGCGACTTCTGCTCCCATGTGCACTGCCTCAATAGTCTCAGGTTCTTTCTCGGCCACCGGTGAGACAGGCTTGGCCAGGGTAGCGATCCCTGTAGCCTCTTGGGCCACTTCCGGTGGGAAGTGCCCATCGTCTGCATCATACCATACTGGCACCTCTAGGCGGAAGCAGCACTTGTAGGAGGATGGGAACGAGATAGACTGTCCATAATTTGCATCCAGCATGCCCTGCCGATAGGCTTGCGCCAGCCGGGGTGTATGCGGGACGGCTGGGCGATTGTTATAGGCATAGTGCCCTTCATAGGCGCGGACGATGATGTAGGGATTGTTAGCCTCATCCTGCCCGCTATTGTGTCGATAGCCTAGCCCGTCCTGAGGGGTAACTTCTTGATAGTGTAAATTGCGGAATTGCCCCACAAGCCTGTGTACGATTTGTACAGGGAAATAGACATGCGTGTCACTTACTGGTAGGTCTGGTTTGCCCAGGTGCAGGTTTCGGCCAAAGGACATGATAACTGTCTGCATGAGTGCTAGGACATTGCGACTAGGTTCCAATGCAGGGGTATCATCTTGGGCTGCTGTGAGGGCAGGAATTCCTCCTGCTTCAGCTGTTTTGGACTCACACGTCTTTGCGCAAAACGATAACAGGCCGTATTGCCAAAAGGCTAGTTCCGCATAGAGGGCTAGTTCTGCATGGTCAATGTGCATACTCTGCGGGTGGCCTGGACTGAGGAACGCGAATAGGGAAGTCAGGTGATAGGCAACAGCCCCGCAAATGCCATCAACATCATGATGTACTTCCCTCACTACCTCACGAGGTAGTTCAGTAAAACCAATACCTCGAAAGCTCAATTCAGCTAACCGCCTGAGCAGTGTAACGCGCAAGACGCTCATGCGTGCCAGGGGCCATTCCCTGGGTAGCATGGCATACAGGTTGGTAGGGGGAGGGGCAGGGGGAGAGGCACCAGGCTGGCTCGGGTCCAGCAGGGACAGCTTCTGAAAGCGGTGGAGCTCCTGCATTGCTCGTTGTTCCGACTGCAGTGCGATGTCAGTGTGCACTGTGCCAGCTTGTTCTTGCTCCTCTTTGTGCGGTTGCAGTTCTTGGATGTATATTTCGGCCGTTGTTTCTTCCCTGTCCGCAGGGTGGTCAGTCGTTGCCGCAGGCTCCGGCATGTCAGGATCTGCTACTACTTCGTCCTTTATTCTGTCAACTGCTAAGGTTTCCAACCCTGTATGCACATGGGTCTGCAGGGGTGGAGGCTCCTGCGGTGGCCCCTGTTCAGGAATACTTGGCAATGGCTGCGATTCCCCCATTGAAGAACGTGGCTTGACCGCTTTGGACTTAACCGCGCTGGGCTTTAGCGAGGTTCTTCTCACCCTGCGCCATGGGGCAATTTTATGAGGAGTCGTCTCTTCCTCGTGACTCGTCGAGCTACTTGGCGAGGTCGGGGCCGGCTCAACTCCGCAGGGGGGGAGAGGAGGTGCTGGCAGGCGTTACTTGCTTCCATCTACTCCGCCCTCTCACCGCCTCAGGTAACACATGGCTTGGGTCGGGGACAAGGGCAGCAGAAGGACGGTTACTACGGTAACCGCCTTCCCATGCCTTGCTTGAGCTGGGCTCATCGCGGCTGAGCGCAGGGCTATCGACAAGATCATCAGGCTCTGTCGGGGGCACTGGTGCCTCGCTCTCACTCAGCACTTGCTGCTCTTCTGGTGCGCTTGATCATGGATTGTCACCAGCACTGCCGACTGCATTGGTTGCTGCAGCCTCTTTGGCGACTGTTCCATCCGCTTCTGAGGCAGATGAATCATGTCTCACCGGCCTTCATCCAGGTCTTCCTCTTCCCCTTCTTCCTCCTCCTGTTCCTCCTCACTCTCCGAAGCAATTGGGACAACAGTGACATCAACAGTCGATTGTTCTTTCTCCTCTGTAGGGGAGCCAGCTTGTTCATCGTCTGCGCTACTGACGGAAATGGGGGCATCCATTTCCATGTCGGTGCTTTCTGGCGATGGAACTAGACTCGGCTGCGTACTGTCAGCTCTGTCCTCCGAGTCCTCATCAGTTAGGCTGATTTCGAGGAGATTCGGAGAAGTTCCCGAAACAGGTTGCCGGAGCAGGTTTTTGGAGGAAATTCCGGAGCAGGTTCCGGAGATTGGGACCAGATATATGACGGCATATAGTGCTCACAAGTGACGATGCAGGTCGTTTATCATTATTGTTGACATATTAAATAGCTATGGCAATTACGGGTGGGGGTCTGGCACCCCATTTTATAGATAAAAATGGCCTGTCCAACCCCCTCTCTCTCTTCTATAATTTGAGAGGGTCTGAGGAAAACACCTTCTGTATGAAAAGGGGGGGCAACGTGCGCTACATGTCATCATGTCCTTGAAATCTACTATGAAATGAGGAGGGATATACATATTCTACAATTGTCGGAAACGGCATGGAGGAGTTGAAATGTAGAGCATGGATTGATGGCTGGTTAAGAAAGGGATTCATTGCACAATTCCGAAGGTACCATCGCCGTGACAGCACAATCCAACGGGACCAAACCTTCTTGTCTGGAGCACAACGTGTAGCCAAAAAAGACATGATCTGAAATCTCTATAAAATGAGGGCGGCCAACCCCCCCTGGAATGTCCATAAAACGTTTTATAGAGGGGGTTGACCCCCACCATTTCATAGGGCTAATTGCTATGTGTATCGTATTAATATAACATCAGAATACAGTGCCAATTTTTTGCTAACCTGCTATCATCTCTAATACACTGAGGTGTTGTTATGCTGACAAGCTGACGACACGGTGCCACGTTGGTGTGTTGTGCATATAGCATGCTGTCACACATAGGTGTATAAACACGTTGTCGTGCATGATTGTCATTGTTACGCTGATATGCCGGCGTAGTGTTATATTGGCACGTTGTCGGGCTGTCCTGCTGACAAGTTGTCATACTGGCACGGGTGAAGATAACATGCTAACATGTTGTTGTGTTGAGATGTGAAATCAAGTCATATTTGAAAGCTGTAGTGTCTAACAAACGCACGCAACAAAGGTCAAACGCACGCAACAAAGGTGCAAATTTGGCAAACTTATTAACAAATGCCAACTGTTGCCATTATTAAATCAGCAAATTCATGCCCATCTGTTGGAATGGTTTCTTGGGTTTATGTATTCGTAATTGTAATAAGTTCAAATTGATGCATATATTTATGCGATCTGGAATATAGTTCCTATAATTTTCGCAATGGATTGGATCTTTCATTGTGTAAGTATCATTCAGGAATCCCGAGATTCCGGGCGAAAATCAAACACTTTTGGAATAATCTTCACCACTAGCTCCTCATTGGGAGACTTAGAAAAAGGAGGAACATCCAATAGACATGATATTGAAAAGAAGCTTTGGAAATTGCAGTTGCATTGACGTGTAAAGGTCCCAAGGGCGCCAATCTCAAGAGCTCATCGCTGTTCTGATGAGACACGGTCGCCATCTGATTTGGACAAAGAGTGATTGTATACCTTCAGCGGAGCGACAACGCTCTAATGCCATCTAATGCCTTTGTCACTCACATACTTTGCCTTTGCTATCCAACAAAAAGAAAACATCCCACTGGGCCCGACTTGCGATTGAGACTCTCTGCCACGTTCGCTTCAAATCCATCCCTGCTGCTGGAGCTCTGACAAGTAAAAGTGGAAGACTCATCATCAAAAGCATATGTGTATGCAGTAGGACATGCACGCCTTAGATTGGCCGGCCCAAAACCTTCAGCCTTTATTTGTTCATTGAGGAATAACAGAATCCTTGAGTCAAGATCCTCTGTTCAGACATGTTCAGACATATTCTTTGAACTTCTCACAACTTGCACAAACGGTAACGAAAAACACACATTCTACCGGGACCCACAAAATCTTCAAACATAATGACCAAAAGGAAAGTAGTACTGTCCCACAGTTTGACAAAGTGGCTTCAAGATTTCCAGGAATGGCATGGCATACTTCTGCCACAACGGATCAGATCCTTGGCAACCTGAGGCAAGCTGTAAATTTCTTGAATTGTTTGTATATTCTTGAATTGAACGCAGAAAATATTCTCTGCATGAGCCATGCTTGCCAGACTTGTCAAGCGTGAATTCATCGAATTTATTGACTTCAGTCTGTGGTATCCCCTCCTTCATGCGCTTTTGGAACTGAAGTGTTCAGGAGCTGTTGCCAATTCGCGCAACCGCAGCAGGACCCGGTATGCTGAGAATAGCCTCAAAAAAGGCAAGGTCAAAAAAGAGGTGGTTGCATAGCATGAGTCTTTGACGAATCATGATTAGCCATGCCCAGCCTTTGCTTGAATGTTTGACCATCACCCATGAGGCCCTTGAGGCATCTTCTACTCCATACAGTCTCGTTCTATGTTTATAACTTTACACGCATGGAATTAACTCTCGTCAGCCAAGGCTACCTTTGCGTGTTCCAAGGCACACACACACTTGGAATATATTGGAATCTGAAGCACAGCAAAAGGTGCCTGAAAGGATTGAGTTTTTGACACCTGTTCCTATGTCCTATATGAAGACACTGCTACAAGTATGTTGGATACCTCAAAATTGAAGAACCTGGCAAACTGCCTGCTTCAATCTCAGTTTATAAGAATGTCTGGACTTAAAGAATAGAGCATAAAGAGTTATGAGAAACCACAAATGCCAAGAAACAGGTGGTGGTCCACGGTGCAGCACCAGCACACGCAAACATCTGATGATGTGCCGGGCAGTCTATCAGCCCATCAAATGGAGCAGGGCCTGCAAATTGTACGAAACTTGAATGCTTCTTCACGGTCATATGTGAGGATGACCTTTACCAGCCTTTACTCTATCCTTGGCACTATAGTTTACTGTAGGTCATAGGCTGATGATCCACCCCAATGCTTTTAGAACAGTTGAGAGCAAGAGCAACAGCAGCATGCATCACTTCGGGCTCAACGCTTTCTGTACACTTTACAGGGGCCACCATCAGTTACAGTTGGTGACAATGTTGTGAACGCCTGAAATGCAGGATAATGTTGTACACCTGATTATGATACCACTCCCGCCTGTAGACCCCTCATCTCCCCATCCCCAATATAATCACACGACCCTTCAATGACACCGCTGTGTTGATGATGTTGTGAAAAGCTGTGAAATGGAGGCATGACTGGAGAGTAGCACAAAACGCTGCGTTACTGAGAGCGTGAACAAAAACGCGCGTCCTTAGCCTTCCGGGGCAAACAACTACAAACACAACAAGCATTCAAGAATAAGATAGAATAAGTATATATATATATATGTATGTTCCCCTGACCTCATCTCTGGAGCACTGTGCTTTGAACTTTCTCCAAACCATGTAATCATCTCACTTATTTGTTGCGAAAAGTATCGGGCCTCAGAACATCTTTCCGCTGGCAAAACAATAACAATACTGTGCCTTTTTCCCTAAGAAAAGCTGTTGCTAGGGAATTTGTCATCAACACGTGGCACCCACCTCAAACAGAAAACTGTGTTTGGTCGGATCGCCCGGATATTGAACAAGTGATTCTTGATGTCTGCAAGTGAAGCATAGTTATTTCAGCTGATTTCCAGAGAAACTTCCCAAATACAAACTCTTCAACCATACAGTTTGTTGAATGGATTTTGCTCGTTTGTATTTTAGACCTTTTTGACCACCCTTGAGTCCAAACTCCTGACCCTTTGCCCATCATGTCCAAGAACCGTATTTGGGCCGGTAGTCTTTTGTCCACTAGTCATTCCGAGTGGTGAGTCCCACTCCACGGTCTCAAACTCATCAAAGGAAGGTGGTGTTTCTCATTCGAGCAAAGACTTACTTGACGCAGCTGTTTTTGCACAAAAGCCGCCAACACTGCAAGATGGCTAAGGGAAATCGATTCAAAAAGGCAGCTGCCAAGAAGGAATGCACTGTGATTTTGCTTTATGTAGATTCTTTAGATTTCCAGAACATGTGCCACTGCATGATATGCACGCTCTTCCACAACCTGCCTGGAGGCAAAACTGTTGTCACCATTCTGTGTCACTAGCATGGCGTGGCAAAAAAAAGAAACAACAGCATGAAGCAATCGAAGGCTGAACGGAAGGCAGAATATTAATACTTAAAAAGTGTGGCCAGTGCGCATCGTCACACCAACAAGTAGGAGTTAGGAGGCAATTTAGAGGATTCTTGTAACTAACAGGTGCTGAAATTCGAACTGAGTCACTCACATAGTTATTGCCACTCCAAACGCAGAGCTGGTAGATGGACCACCCACCGATTTGATGGCCACATTCCATGCGAATCTCTGTAGTCGGTTGGTCCTGTCCTGTCAATGCATTCCGAACTCGGACTGCCTTTTGCCCGCACCGGGTGTTTGTTTCAAGGCAGTCTGAGTTGGAGGTGCAAGGAACTCCATTGCCATCCACCTTGGTTCATCATTGCTACAGAACGAAGGCAAGTACAAGAAACAAAACCAAGAACAAGTCAAGCTTCAGGAACAATACTGTTATTTCTTGGCATCCCCTTTCGTGGCGAGTGATCAAACGGATGGAACTGGATGGAACCACCAAATCCAGTTCGGACAACGACCAAACGAATCAACGCGACCAAACGAGAGGACAAGCGACCTGTCGAAGTAAAGGTCCTAAATCTCGTTGCACATCTGTCGATGTGTTGAAGGCCCAAGAACATGAGCTCAACCGGGTGTCTTTCCTCGAAAGACCAAATGCAAATGCAAACAAACATAATTAAACAGGATTTCCCCTGCCATTTCAAGGCATCAACAATTTTCATGCAGTACAAACAGTGATTGGTTGTAAAAAGTACAAAGTGAAGCTGTGCTTCTGATGAAAAGCTCCAGCTGCGCCACAGTTGTAGCCCTTGTGACTACCCGCAGCTTCTTCACTTACTCGGTCAAAACGAGTGCTCGGCTTCATTTCAATGGCAACGTTGAAGCCGTTGATGACAGAAACATCATAAAAGTCTGGACCAAATGGTACCAAAGTGAACTCAACTGCAGTGGCGACTCCGTTCAAACCTTGGTACGAAGGACAAAATGGCTTGTTGTTGCAGAAGGCAGAAGCTATCAAGCCTCCATCTCGCGTGTGATTTGCGTAGAATTCAAGCTTCCCGCTCCAATCTGCCACAACACCGTTCCCTTGTCGAACCGCCTCATTGGGAGTATACAAAGAGATCTGCTCTCCTGGGTCAATCGTCCAGTCATTCCCAGGCATTTCAAAATCGAAATAGCACTGGTTGTTGATTGGATTGCATGTCATGCCAGGGCAATTTCCGCAAGGCACTTGTGCGTTACCCCCTGTTGGGGCAATGATCATAGGCCTTGAGCATCTGTTGACGACATCAATGCGCCTGCCATCTGTTGGCCACAAAAAACCTAGCGCGAAAGCCCAGCCTTTCATTCAGTCTGGAAAGCGCTCCTTTTGAGCCGCTCGGTCTGGTTGGCAATCCACCAGTGGGAAGTAGGTACGGCTACTCTGCCGCGGCCACTATCCGAATGAATACGGTATATGCACGCCATCAACGGCCGTGTAATCTTGAATCCTGCTCCTTAATGAATGCTGATGTCAGAAAACACTGATAAGGTGTCCTGGGATAACTGCAAGAAAAACCATAAAGACTTTTTATATCTTTTTATTCTATGTCCATCTGATTCTGCTCTGATCTTCTTATTCCTTGTGTCAGTGTGGCTTGATGACGGTTTGCCATTCTCGTTGTCAATGTGCTGAACGGGGGCTGAACTGGGGACATCCGAGGGACTCTGGCTGAATGCCGGGATACTGGGTGGGGCCTCGTAGGGAGTCGAAATACGTTTCCGTGGGGAACCTGGGAGGTGAACACTTGTCAGGACACTGCATGGTCGGAAAGGAGGTCGTGGCATTGCTGGTGGCCCATTGTCCCATTGTCTATTTTGTCACATCTTCAGCTCAGCTCAGCACGATCTTCGTGCGAGGTGAGACAAACACACTGACCAGTCCACTTAATGGTCTCAAAAGGAATGTTTCATGATGTGTCTAAAGAAACCTGGCTTGACATATTGATACATAATGTGTTCCTGCGAGAGTTGAACAATTTGAAGAGGCAACACGTTTTTGGACTAGACATGATTTTCTGCTAACAAATCAATTCAACTCTGGCAATTTCAGGTCAGATGTCTTGAAGATGTGTGAAAACGGCATTACTAATCACTCGTGCTTTCAGTCGGGTGTTCGGCCTTGAATCTCCAACAGCTGCAGTGCACAAACCAAGAACATGACGTTGCAAAGGCCTTTGTTGAATTGTACATTGACTATGCATATATATATATACATACATGTAGAGAGCAGAATCAGTGATCATGAAACATCGCTTAAATTTTACTTTAAACCATGTCGGAATGCCTATGCAGAAGGCTTTCACCGGCGTTCCATGTTCTAAGTGCTGGGCCTGTCAGCGGGCTGTGTATGGGGTTTGAAGCTCCTGGGCATGTGCAACCATGATGTTGGCGGAATACGTATATTAAAATACACACTCAGGAGGAGTGCGAACAAGTTTCAATTACAAGCAAGCATGCTCTAGATTCCACTCCATTTGCGTGCCGCCCTCTCCCTCTTAATGCGCACATAGGACTAAGTAAGCACCCCCTAGTAATCAATCCCAGCTCGACCCCTCCAATACTAAACTAATTGAAAGCCTAGACTTCCACCTTGGCATCACCCGAATAGTTTTTTCCCTGTGCCGAAACCTCCCCCTATTAATCAATCCCAGCTCCCCCAGAAAAACAATTAGGCCTATATGTATTTATTATTTACTCTATTTTTCCCGAATGCGTAGCGAAGGGTTCTCGTTTAACTCTTGGGGGTCTGGGGGTAGAGCCTTGTTCGCGACCCGTTGCTTCTATGTTCGCAACCGTCCGCAACCGTCCGCAACCGCCCGCAACCGTCCGCAACCGTCCGCAACCGTCCGCAACCGTTCGCAACCGTTCGCAGTAGGACGCTAAGGCGCTGCCATTGGGGGAAGCTTTTGCAAGTGACTTTTCATGGATGTGTCACGTGTCAGTTTGCGACGCTATTCCATTGTGATTTGCATGAAAATGACATGTCGCGCAAGAAGCGTGATGCATTTCGCTGCACAGGCGCAGTGGTTTGAGAGATCCGCAGTTTACTGCGCAGTTCCATTGGGATTAGCGTTTGGAGAGTCGTGTTTTTGGGGTGTTGGATGTGGCCGCGCCATTGGGATTTGCGTTTCAGGGTGTGGCATCGAAGCTCTGTTTTCGTGACAAGTCTCAGCTGAAATGGCGATTTTGGTGGATGGGAGTGTGCTCAGAACGGGTCGAAATCATTCTAAACGTGTGGTGTGGTGCAAATTTTGTTGAAGCTCACGTGAGATGATATTCTCACTTTTCGTGGCAGGCACAGTACTTTGTGCTGATTTTGAGGTGTGGAAGTGCGATTTTCGTGGCAGGCGCAGGAAATCGTGAGGTTGCGAGGTGTGACGGAGGTGACATTTCGTGGCAGGCGCAGTACTTTGTGCGCGCTAGACGCGTGGATGCGGAAAGATTCGTGGCAGGTGCAGGGAATCGTGAGGTTGTGAGTTGTGGTAGAGGTGAATGTCGCTGTCACATTGGGATTGGCGTGTGAGGGGGTATTGTTTGGAGGGCTGGACTCGCGAAACTGCTTGGCAGGGCTGCGTGATGTGTGTGCTCCGATGGGTGTTTCCGCTGGACTTTTGGAGGAAGTCTCGTGCGAAATGTTCGTTTTGCAGAAATTGACATGTGAGTTTTTGAGGAAGTCTCGTACGAAACGCTCGTTTTGGGGACTTGACATGTGACTTTTGGAGGAAGTCTCGTACGAAACGCTTGTTTTGGAGACTTGACGTGTGACTTTTGGAGGAAATCTCGTACGAAACGCTCGTTTTTGAGACTCAGAGTGTCCTACAAGAGTGTCCCACAAGAGCTTCCCACAACAGTGTCCCACAAGAGTGTCCCACAAGAGTGTCCTACAGGAGTATCCCGCAAGAGTGTCCTACAAGAGTGTCCCACAAGAGTGTCCTACAAGAGTGTCCCGCAAGAGTGTCCCACAAGAGTGTCCCGTATGAGTGTCCCACAAGAGTGTCCCACAAGAGTGCCCCACAAGAGTGTCCCACAAGAGTGTCCCGTATGAGTGTCCCACAAGAGTGTCCCACAAGAGTGTCCCACAAGGGTGTCCCACAAGAGTGTCCGACGAGAGTGTCCCACAAGAGTGTCCCTTAAGAGTGTCCTACAAGAGTGTGCAACAAGAGTGTCCCGTATGAGTGTCCCACAAGAGTCTCCTACAAGAGTGTCCCACAAGAGTGTCCTACAAGAGTGTCCCGTAAGAGTGTCTCACAAGAGTGTCCCACAAGAGTGTCCCCGCAACCATGTCCCACCACAAGAGTGTCTCACAAGAGTTGAGAGTGTCCCACAAGAGTGTCCTATAAGAGTGTCCCACAAGAGTGTCCCACAAGAGTGCCCTACAAGAGTGTCCCACAAGAGTGTCCTACAAGAGTGTCCCACAAGAGTGTCCTACAAGAGCATCCTACAAAGGGTTTCCTACAAGAGTGTCCTATAAGAGTGTCCCACAAGAGTGTCCCACAAGAGTGTCCTACAAGAGTGTCCCACAAGAGTGTCCCGCAAGAGTGTCCCAAATGAGGAGTGTCCTACAAGAGTGTCCCGCAACAGTGTCCCGCAAGAGTGTCTCACAAGAGTGTCCCTTAAGAGTGTCCCACAAGAGTGTCCCGCAACAGTGTCCCACAAGAGTGTGTCCCACAAGAGTATCCCACAAGAGTGTCCTACAGGAGTGTCCCGCAAGAGTGTCCCACAAGAGTTTCCTACAAGAGTATCCCACAAGAGTGTCCCACAAGAGTGCCCTACAAGAGTGCCCCACAAGAGTGTCCTACAAGAGTGTCCCACAAGAGTTTCCTACAAGAGTGTCCCACAAGGGTGTCCCACAAGAGTGTCCCACAAGAGTGTCCCACAAGAGTGTCCCACAAGAGTGTCCCACAAGAGTGTCCTGCAAGAGTGTCCCACAAGAGTGTCCCACAAGAGTGTCCCAAATGAGTGTCCCACATGTCCCACAAGAGTGTCCCGCAACAGTGTCCCGCAAGAGTGTCTCACAAGAGTGTCCCTTAAGAGTGTCCCGCAAGAGTGTCCCGCAACAGTGTCCCACAAGAGTGTGTCCTACAAGAGTGTCCCACAAGAGTTTCCTACAACAGTGTCCCACAAGAGTGCCCCACAAGAGTGTCCCACAAGAGTGTCCTACAGGAGTATCCCACAAGAGTGTCCTACAAGAGTGTCCTACAAGAGTGTCCCACAAGAGTTTCCTACTAGAGTGTCCCACAAGAGTGTCCCACAAGAGTGTCCCACAAGAGTGTCCCGTAAGAGTGTCCCACAAGATTTTCCTACAAGAGTGACCCACAAGAGTGTCCCACAAGATTGTCCTACAAGAGTGTCATTTGGACATATGTAGCTTTTGGAACGTGTTTGCATTCGGGTTCGTGGGCTCCATCTTGTTTTAACTATTGGGTTTACTGTCTTTTTCTACTCTCCTCAGGTCTCATGCTACCAACCACCCCCCAAAACCCGAAAAACTCTCTAGCAAAAGTCTTTGATTTCCCTCATTATCTTTTCTTTTTCAAGCCCTACCACACACAGGCCCTCACACAGGCCCTACCCCCCCAATAGTAGGACCACCTCCCTCTATTAACAAATCCCAACTGCCCCAGAAAAAATAGTTTACTATTGTACTTGTTGTTTTCTTTTTTGCTAATACTCAAAAATATTCATCTCCTCATCTTCCTGATTCCCACCACCACCTCTCAACTGCCCCATACTGCCCACCAATCCTTTTGATGGCTTCTCTGGATCCACCCTCACCACAAATAGCCTCCACCTCCCATTCCTTATCCTCCATGCTCTGATACGCAATGATCCAATTGGCATGGCTCTCTGATCAATCCTATCGATATCCTATCAAACTTGTGCCAATACACTCAAAGCTCTCATGAATCTCATGGCTCAAACTCCCATACACTCAACCATCATCCACCATCAGGTCCAGGTCGTCATCTCATCATTGACCTTGAAGGGGGGGGGGGCGGTTGATTAATCCTACGTCGACATTACATGTCATCCTCACATGTGGTGTGAGACCTTCTAGGAACCTGAGCTCTGGATGCCTCCGGCATCTCCCTCATCCTCTTTTTTCCCAACAGTTCTACTGTTGGGGTTCTCTCTTGCGAAAAGGAAAATGGCCACAGTCTCCGACCGCGCCGGTAAACCTTGTGTCCAGGCTTTGTCCCCCTGCTGTCCTCTTCTTTTCTTGTCCTTCTTCTCGTGTGTACGTAGCCTGGCCGCGGCTGCCAGCCGGCCTCCAGAGCTTGTTCTCCTGTTGTCTTTCTTTTCTCTCTTTTTCTCTTCTTGTCGTCGTCTTGTCTTTTTCTCTTGTCCTCTTTTTCTCCTCTTGGCGTGCTCCCCTCACGTTGTCCTGTTGTCCTTTTGGCGTTGTCCGGTCACAGCTTGTCCTTCTGTTGTCCTCTTCTTGGTGTGTTCCTGTTGCT